TCAACTTGACTGTCACTTCCACCGTGGTAAAGAGTTTATCATATTAGATGGATATACCCAGCATATCCAAAACACACACAAAATATTTGGGAAGAGGGGTCCTTCTCGCTTTCACCTCCTCCCCCAACAGCTGGTAGTGATAACTGGTCCCCACACTTGCTATGTGTAAGCTTCTAAGACTAAAATCTTGTACAGCTCCTTATTTGGGTGGAATTTAAATGGTCACCACCCATGGAGCCAAACTATCAGCTCACCAACAATACCCCCATGGTGGGGTTGGAAACCAAATTTACATTTCTGATTTAAAAACATACCTTTTTAATTAGGATCAGAATCTGCCAGTCTACTCACTGGTGGGAACAAGCAGTATTAGGCATGCAGGAAAACGCGCATATTCCCAAGATCCAGCCAGGTTCTTTAAACAGAAAGGGAACTGCCCCACGCTCCTTTCTGCAAACCACTAATTACCATCTTTGCCCCGATTCTGGAATATGAATCACTTTACTTAATGCAAAACTTTTCAACACTCTATTCTAAACACAGCTACCAGTCTGTAGATCACACCAGCGGTAGATCCACAGCAACTTTCCCTGTTAAAATATACAAAATATCAGTTAGACCATCCCAAATTAAATAATCACTGTGGCAGCAAATAAAAATCAGATTAAGTAGGATTTTGTGACCTAGGAGACCACTGAAGCTTTTGTCAGGCAGGAGACCAGGACGGATGAAGGGAGAGGGGAGTCCTGCTTCTGAACTTCTCTTTTGGGTTTTAACTCCAATATCTCAAGCTTCCTCCATTCTCACTTTCCATATTTAGTTCAGTCCATTTTAATTTCTATCCCTTGATTAGACCCCAGTTCCCAACATTTTGTGTATTCTTGTTTATCAGACCTGTGAATTGAGCTATATCAATGTGCTCCCTTGAGGACCGGCTGTTGTGGGCAGAGAAGAATATTAGTTTAAACTGGCATCAAGAACCTAAAGCCGCAAGAAAAATCAGAGGGAGAGAAAGAAACTGGATAACGTGGAATCATCTCACTGTGAGTCAATCCTGACTGGTTTTTTTCTACTCCCGGGGACTATTAGAACAGGCAAAGTCATCTCAACAGATCAGAGTTCACATTCCAAGGGGCAGATTTGGGCTTTTTTAAATTATTAATTAGATAAATTGCTAAGAAGGTAGCAAAAGAATATGTGGGTAGAAAAATAAAAGGGGTGATCAAATTCTTTTCTTTTTCTCCCCTACAGCACTGGCATTAGAATGGCTCTGTGTACACCATATGCATAGTCCTTTACTGTGACTAATGGGAATAATGTACTACATTTCACAATACTGATCTCTTTGCAATTTGAGAAAAACTCACAATTGGATGACTATACATACTATCTAAAAACACTTATCACAACAAATGCTCAAGCAAAATTTCTTTTTCAGATAAAACTTGGAAAAGTTTTCTGGATAAGCAAAAGAACCATTCAGACTGCTAGGAAAACAGCCCCCTTCTCTTTTTCCCTGTTGGAGTAAACGCTTAATCCTCTCAGATGTTTTTCCTGCTGAATGCTTGTCTTATGTGCAGTTTAAGATGGTATTTAAAATTTTCAAAATTCCTTCTACAAGTGTATTCCTATTTCCCCTAATATTGGGCTCAAACCAACGTTAACTGGCACAGATGTTAGAAATTCCAACCTCTTTCCAGAAAAGACCAAGTATGAAAGTAAGGGAATGCCCCTTTTTAGCAAATTCTTATTTCTTCTCTCTGATTCTGGATGTAATTGTCAGCATACCCATCAAAGTGGGTGAACATCATACCCAACTTGCCTGCGTTATCACTCCCTAATGGATACATGGAGATCCTTCCAAATGCAGAATGTCTGTAAAATTAAGAGTCTGTAAATCAGAGTTGCTACTTATAACACTTTCTATTCGGAGTGAGGGGATCACTTTGCTCTGAAAATACATCCAGCCAGTGTTCTAATGCTATGCAGAGACTATAAACTTCAGAGATCAAAGCTGGATTCATGTCTTCATTAACTATAAACACTTATATGCAGGTGGTACTAGCTATCAAATGCTAAACCAAAATTTTTCTATTTTTTATAATTACTGTTATTTGCCGCTTAAAAAATAATCTAGAAAAAAAAGTCATATGTACTCAAATATGCAACCTGATGTCATGCATTAGCCAGGAATATTTTGCTGCAAATCAAGTAAGTTAGGAAAATCACCTACACAGTCACTTCATAAGAGCGGTGCACGTGTTTGGTTTCTTTCCCCCATGACTGGTGGTACACTTTGCAGTTCCATCTGACTGCTAACATCAACATTTCACATGCAACTGAGTGGCTCTGTTTTCATTCTAATGAGCGCTTTAAAACTTGCAACCTGAAATTTAAATTTCTGATGTTCATCAAGGTTAATAAATAACTTCTTACAAATAAAGGATTAGGTTTGATTTTAAAGCTCACAATTAAAACAAAATAATTTTTAAAATAAAACAGTGTGAATGGTTGAGGAGATAGATCCTTGTAAATTCACCAGAATGTCAATGTTTTCTTATTTCTGCTAGTATGGAAAAATATATATATATTTGTTAAGTTCTCAAATTATTCTGATTTCCCAACTTATCCCAAATCTCCTCTTAGGGTATTATTTATATTTTTTTGTTTCCTAAATAGCCTAAATAGTGTTTTATATACAATAATGCTTCTATGTTAGCCAATTTGGAGAATGCACATTTAAAATAAAAATCTTAATTATCTATGTCTATATGTGACTGATAATCTTTACAGTAAACAAGAACAGAAAGGGTATGGAGATACTTAACTGAAGCTAAGAATACAATGATAAGGAAATGAAATCATTGTACTCCAGAGAAATGTACTCTGGATGCAATCTTCACACATACTAAGACTGGCTTCGATAAAACAAACAAAATCAGTCTCATTATTATTCAACACACTTCATGTGTTTATCTTTGTAAATGTAGTATACAGCAGTTCTCTAAAGAGCAAATATAACATGTGAACAGGAACTGATTTGTATTATAATTACTACTGTGGTTTTTCCAAAGTCATTGGCCTTTATCGAAAATGAAAGCCATTACTAATAAAAATCAGTAAACACAGATATTAAGTAGGAAAATGTTTGTAATCCTCAAACGCACAATGCAACATGAAGAAGATTGATGTTTCCATCATTTTGAAAGCAATCAAAACTCTTCCTCTTATGAGTAAAATTATGACCTCACTAAAATAATTAGAAAAAATAGAGGTTCTCTTATAATATTTAACATATGTTCCACTATAGGAGAATTTCATCCAAAGCTGTAGCTCACAAAATTCCCCAAATCAACAGGCAGACAACTCGTTTTGCAGCTGAGCGCAGTGTCTCCACTATATTTTCTCAAAGATAGCTGATGCAAACCACACCTCATAACTACACAAAAATGGTTGCTCAGATGGAATTATGCAAATGCAGTTTCAAAATAACCTGCTCAAATTTCGGCCCATTAAAGATGAACCTACAAAGCATTTGCGACATCATGCCTGGTTCCAGCGGAATTTCAGTGGGTACTAAGGAGAGCACAAATCCCAAATCATCCTTATAAAGAAAGCCTGAAACGTAAGTACGCAAACATCAAATCCCATGGGCATATTCACAGCCCTTGGACCCGGCCCCTGGACACTGATCCTTCACCAATGTAAAGCAAGCAGAGCCATCAGGTGCTTCTTGAGGTCTTCATCCTGCCCTGCGAGCAGAAGGGGCCATCTTTGAAGAGCTGAGTCTCTTCTTTTAAAATAAGATATTCCAAAGATGGGATTTTCAAAATGGGAGATGAATTTACAGGGTAAATTATTTATTATATGAGGCAATTAAAATATCCTTTAAATGTCCATTTCCATAAAATGGTATTTATTTTCAACCTGGCAGTATTTCATAATCAGATGCCCATCTACAAAGACTTTTCTGTGACTGTAAAGTTCCCAGTTTTCTTCTACTTAAAAGTAAACAATAGAAAAATGCAGAGTGATTACAATACCAAAGCAACTTCAGTAAATTTCATATGCAGCCAAATTTCAAGCCACAAGACACTGGCTCGGTAAGAACCACATCAGATGTTTCCAAATTAATAATTGACCAAATTGGATTTTTCACTAAGTAAACTTTAAATTTGAAATACTTTTTTTTCTGTTGCTTTATATTTATATTAAGGAATAAAGCGAAATTTTAAGTATGGATGTACATAAATTGTCAATCATATTTTGTATTGACTGAATAATTTGCAAAACATTAGAAAAAATGTGAAATATTTTCATTTTGTAATAGTTGGAAACTGTTCGTAGTTGAAAGTTATATAAAATATCCAGTTATAGCAAAAAGTTGTCACAAATGGAGCTTCAGTATTCCCAGTCAAACATAGGGAACCATTTTGTTCCGAAATATGATAGCAGCGTTTTCTAACATTAAACTTGAATTTTCACGATTCTTTGTATTAGATAAATCAATCTTCAAAACAATAAATACTTAACTGCTATTTACTTCCATTTACACCCACCACTGGTTAGGTCTATTACTACATTTTAGTAAGTTTATAGGACCCAAAGCATCAGTAGAGCAGCGGAAAACGTCTGCTCTGTTCCAAAAGGGTAAATTTTGCTGTACTTACGTGTATTTATCTAATTTGTCAGTTTCGCAAACTTCTCATCATTCACTTTCCTACACTTCTTAAACTAGTTTTAAAGACTTCATTAAAAACTGAGTAAACCCTTAGGAGAGTAGAGATCTTTCAAATAAACCAACATTCTAGGCCTTTAACCGTCACACAAAATCTCAAAAGAACAAACAAAGCAAAGCATCACTGTTTTTACTTGTGTGTCCCTCAAATGGGCTGAAAAAGCCGCTAGGAGCCTATTAACCACCCCCAACCTTCTCAAGCATTGGGAATGCCGACCTGAGAATTCATGACCCAAATCGCACGAGTCACCCGAGTCACAAGATGGTAACATTAATGGAAAACCGTTGTGTAGCTGAACTCTTCGAAAGGGATTTCTTGAAAAGTGTCTACGCTTTCAGGGCAAAGCAAAATATGTTGTTTACGAACTTTCACCTCTCTGTTCACCCCAGTGTCACTGGTTGGCTTCAGGGGCACCATGAAGGGTGGTTTAATTTTTGGCAGCATTTTACTTACACACCCTCACGCGCGCACACACTCACGCACGACTCCCCATACATTCCAGCGTCCTCTTGGGACCAGAAAGATGAAATACAGTCTCTGGGCCATTTCCCCTCAATCGGAGCTATTTTTGTTCAAAATATCTAGAAACATCCCTGAAGAGAAGAGAAAGCTGATAAGGAAAAACAAAATAATTTCCCCTAAAGAACCCGGCTACCCTCTTTCCAGCCTAACAAATAGGCAGAAGGACACCGACTCTGCCCAGAGAGGGACAAGAAACTTCAAGACGCAAGAGGGGAGAGCGAAGTTCAGCAAAGACGGGAGATTAAGCCACAAAGGGGGCTCTCGGGGCGTGTCCACAGGCGTACCCCTGGTCCCTTCTCCCCCTCTTACCTTTGGATGATCTGGGGTAGGCCAGCTTGGGGCGGGGGCGGCGGCGGCGGCGGCGGCGGCGGCGGCGGCTGCTGCTGCATCCCTCGCGGGCCGGAGGGTGCCGGGGACGCCCGGGCACCAGGCACACTGCAGGCAACTCTGTCCGGCTGCTCCGGACCGCTGGGGTCCGCGTCCTGGCTCATGGCTGCTGCCAGCACCATGCGGGGCGAGACCAGCCCGGGATCGCGGCGAGAGAGCTCACCGGTGGGGCGGTCCCGGGCCACGGGCGCTCACCGGCCGGGGTCCCCGTGCCCAGTCCCCTTGTCCTTCCCGGTGGTGCGGGGAGGAGACGCGAGGGGCGGGGAGGAGGCAGTCCCGGCGGCACCGCCTCCTCCTCCAGCCGCTCCAGCTTGTCCTGGCCAGCCACGCGGGGGCGGGGGTCAGGGGGCGTCTCCCGACCGGTGGGAGCTGCTTGGCGGCCGGGTGCTGCTGGGCGCCTAGGTGGACCCGGGAGCTCTGCCCGCCAACCCCGGGCGCAGCAAGCGGGGAGGGAGCGCGGCGTGCGCCACCCGCCACTGTGCACCCTGCTCCACGGCGCAGCACACCGCGGGAGGAAGGGGACACACGCAGCCCGCGGCCTGCCACCGCGCTCTCGCTCCACCCGGGAACACCGAGGCCTCCAGCTGTCCCCGGGGATGGTGCGCGCGGCCTCTCGCACCTACTGCCCAAGCCCGGCGGACCGAGCGCGCCCGGGGTGTCTGTGCGCACCGCCAGTGCACAGTGCGCTCGGCCTGGAGCCCGGCCAGCGCCACTCGCGCCTGAGGGACCCGACCCCGAGGGGAAGAAAGCCTGGACTGGCCCCGAGGTTGGACTTGAATTGTAACTCAGGTCTCAGATGACCAGGCCCCGGGGCTCTCCAAATTGGCAGCTCCAGCTGCTGATTTCAGGGGGTCCCCGGAAGCAGCCAGTGGGGCCACCATGCATTTCTGGTTTCTTTTTCTTTTCACTTAAAAGACCCCGCCACGATCCCACCAGCGCAAAGACAAAACCAAGCGTACGTTTTATTCTTTTTTATTGGCCAAATCTCCGTGGAAATGTAAAAGATGAAAAGAGTTTGCCGAAAACGTACAGTCACCCTCACAGCCTCTGAAGCCCTCTTAATTATCCTGACGCCCGCGTGCGCCGGTCCACCTGCACTCACCGATTCACAGCTGTGGACGCGAACATCCTAACATCCCGCGGCCTTTCAAGGCTGAGAGCCGCCCCACAAGGCGCAGCTTAACATCCTGGCGCGTGGGTGCGAATATGCGAGGCACCTGACACAGCAGAAATGTCTAGGGAGCTGAGCAAAGACCAGAAAAAGCAGCCGCCCGGTAGACCTCACCGGCTGTCTGCAGTAAAGGAGTTCTAAGTCGTGACGCCAGCATCACCTGAGAGTGGAGAAAAGCGTGCCTTGGGTGCCTGGGAAACCACAGCGCAGGATGCTCCACGGCCTGGAGGGGGGTTTGCTCAGGTCGCCACCCAGCTCACCTTCCTCCCGCAACCACGCGGAGGAAAATTCTGAAGATGGGTTCCCTGAGACCTGGCAACTACTTTGAATTCCCTAGAAGACGCTTTCATTTCTCCCCAAACTGTGAGTTTCCAGCCTCTGGAAACTACGCCTACGCCTCTGTTGATTTCTGCCATCATTGTCTTTCTCTCTCCTTCCTTCTCTCTCCCTTTTTAATCTTCCTCTCTCCCTCTTCTAATATAAAATGACACTATCAATTCCTTGTATACTTAAAGATCAGTTTGCCACAGTTAGCAAAATTCCGCCTTACCAAAACAAAAACAAAACAAAAAAACGAGACGGGTGGGCAGGTCCGAAGGTAGGTAGTTAATTAAATTGGTTGTTCCTTGTTCTACTTTTTCCCCCTTCTCCTTAATGCAGTTGACTAGAAAAAAAAGAAAAGAAAAAAAAAACACCTGGTAAAGAGATGTTGATTGTTTTTCCCATTTCACAAATGAGGAGGCATGAGGGTGATTTGTCGGAAGGATCTATAGCTAAAAAGAGGTTGTAGGAGAGTTTCGTCCAATTATCTGAATAGTTCATCATCTTTAGTTTCCATCACAAAATTCCTAACTGTGATTTCCTTAAAACTCCATCTTCCACCCCATATTGCCATCCCGACTTCCTTAGTGAAAGGAAATTACTTAAAATTAACATTGCAACTCTCCCAGCAATAAAATTAAAACTTTTTATATGTTTGCACGGAAGCTTTTTCTCAGAATCCTCCAAAACCTTGATGGAAAGAGCTCTGTGGTCAAAAAGACCTGTTTTTGTGTCCAGACTCTGCAATTTACCAGTGGAATGATTCAACCTCTCTGAATGTCAGTTACCAAATATATGAATAGGAACCGATGAGACCCTGGCTTGGAGAATCTCTGTTAGGGTTAGGGATAATGCGTCTTGCATATTTTGGGCAGAAGGTATTCAATCTGACACTTATTACAAACATGATTTTTTTTTCTTTTTTTTGAGACAGAGTTTTGCTCTTGTTGCCCAGGCTGGAGTGCAATGGCACGATCTTGGCTCACTGCAACCTCCGCCTCCCGGGTTCAAGCAATTTTCCTGCCTCAGCCTCCCAAGTATCTGGGATTACAGGTATGATTCTTTATATTCCAACCTTATAGCCAAATATTAATACAACAGATCTCAAACCCCAGAAAGCTGAGAGCCTGGAAGTCACATCGATATAAGTGAGTCTATTCCCATTACATTTTTATTGGCAAAAAAAGACCATGTTATATGAATGCAGCTGTCTGAATCTCAAAAATAATATCCTAGCGTATGTGAGAAAATAGGAAACAATGAATAAATCTAGGTATTCACTGGGCTTTTCTTGCATCCTTTCTGTATGTTTGAAATTTTCAAAATTAAAAAAATGGAAAAAATTGAATGATTCATAGTTGTGTTTCAGAAATGCTGTCTCCATGATTATAGCTTAATATTTGCCATCGACATGTTACAAAATAACTTTGATTTGAAGGTAGAGGGCAACACAACAGCAAAAACCTAGAGGTAGTTGACGACCTTCCTCAGATCCCACAGAATGTTTTCCAGGACGACGTAGAACAGGCTTTCCATTTGCAAGTCAGACATTAAGTACATTCAACAGTTGCAATGAAAAATATTTCTAAATATTTCTCATTTCTTTCCCAGAGGAATGGAAAAGCATAAAGAGTCCTAGCTGAGACTGCAGACCTTGGGGTTATCTGCCCCTGGGCTCTCACCACTCCCCTCCCCCGACGCCTGTGCTTCATAGTGACAGAAGCCAGAGAAATGCTGTGTGAGTCACCTGACTTGACAAATGGGAGCGTGACTGAGAGGTGAAGACTGATAACATCTCTCTTTGATCCTCTCTGCAGAAGCATCCTGTCCCTCCTTGACCTATAAGTGAACTACGATCAGGTGGTGAGGCTATTGCTGACTGTGTATACGTTGAATATTTAACAAGCTGCTAAGTATTTTCATAATTCATCTTACTTTATACTCACAATAACTCCATGAGACAGCAGCTGTTAACTCTGTTTTATAATTAAGGAAACTGAAGCTCAGATAGCTACAAAATTTGCTCAAGGTCACCTAGCTTTTAAGAGGCAGAAGCAAGACTGCAGGTAGGTTGGTCTGTCCCCAAAGCTCACCGATTGTCTATACTACCTCACTGACAGAAGTGGAACTGAGATTTTTTTTTTTTTTTTTGGGACAGAGTTTCGCTCTTGTTACCCAGGCTGGAGTGCAATGGCACGATCTCGGCTCACCGCAACCTCCGCCTCCTGGGTTCAGGCAATTCTCCTGCCTCAGCCTCCTGAGTAGCTGGGACTACAGGCACGCGCCACCATGCCCAGCTAATTTTTTGTAGTTTTAGTAGAGACGGGGTTTCACCGTGTTGACCAGGATGGTCTCGATCTCTTGACCTCGTGATCCACCCGCCTCGGCCTCCCAAAGTGCTGGGATTACAGGCTTGAGCCACCGCGCCCGGCCACTGGAACTGAGATCTTACCTGTCTTCTTTCGCTGTGATGCTGTTGTGAACATAAAATGCCACCTGCATTGTGATATAACTCTGCTACTCATATCTCTTCAGATCAGCCAATTAAGAAATATTTAAACTGACCCTTACAAATAAGAACATTCAAAGAAATGAAGCAACCTGGTGGGAGGTGGTAGAAAGGGGTGGAAATAGGACCCAGGTCTCTATTATACTAGGGTCATTCTCAAACTTACTGGGGACTCTGGCACTCTGGCTTGTCCCATGATGTTAATAAATGTTCCAGGCACTGCTTCTAGGAGTTTTCTCCCACCTTATTTCATTTAATATCACCATTGTGGAGAAATTAGAAGCACCTGCCCAAAGTCACTGGAGTAATAAACAACAGAGCTGAGATTCACATGCTGGTCTGAATCATTGTGACCCTCTGTCCTCTCCAAACGGGAAATATAATATACCTCTCAGTTGATTGTGAGCATTCATCTCTGCAGATGAGATGATTTGTATGTGCGGCTGTTCAGCATATGTATACTGTCACTGTTATTTTTTAACAACAGTTTACTTTGTAAAGTTTGACGACAGAGACATTCTCATATACTATGGGTGTCAGTTGCAGCAACTCTTTGGAAGTGAATTGGAACTATTAAAATTGCAACAAGAGAAACTGACTCAGCAATTATCCTCCTAGGAATTTATCCTATGGGTTCATTTGTAGCAATAATCAAAGGTACAGGGACAAGGGAGTTTATTGTGGCATTTTTCATAATAGCAAAAAATAGAGACAGCCAAAGTGCTGCACAGAAGGATGGGCTTTCAAAAAATGGTCTCTATGTACAAAAGAGTACAATGTAGCCTTTAAAAAGAAGAAGTAGGTCTGTATGCACTGCTAGGAATAGAGACCCAAGATATATTATTAAGGAGAAAATGCAAGTTTCTCAATAGTATTGCAGTATGACTAAATGTCTATAAAATCAAAGAGCAGAGAACATTTCTGGAAAAGTTATACAAGTAATTTTTAACAGTAAGTACCTCCTGAAATTAGGATAGAGCAGGAACCTTTTCCTTGTATGACCTTTTATATTGTTCGAATACTTGAAATAAAATTTTATTGAAGTACATTTGAATTTTTGCTATGAACATATGTCATTTTTTAATTAACCAACGACAGCAAAACTTATCTGTTTTTTCAACTAGTAATCATTAATGACACCTAGTACATTAATAAGATGTTTATTTATTTTTTATAACAAAGTCTCACTTTGTTGCCCAGAGTGGAGTGCAGTGGTGCAATCTTGGCTCACTGCAACCTCCACCTCCCTGGTTTAAACAATTCTCCTGCCTCAGCCTCCCATGTGCCTGGGATTACAGGTACTTACCACCATGCCCAGCTACTTTTTGTATTTTTAATAGAGATGGGGTTTCACCATGTTGGCCAAGCTGGTCTCAAACTCCTGACCTCCAGTGATCCACCTGCCTCGGCCTCCCAAAGTGCTGGGATTACAGGCATGAGCCGCCACACCCAGCCAAGATGTTTATTTTTAAAGCAAAAATTCATGTGAAGGAGAAACACACTGGATAATATATTGTCCAGTCCTTCTATCCTAGCAAGTCTAATAGACAGTTAAAGTAAATCATTGGGCCGGGCGCGGTGGCTCAAGCCTGTAATCCCAGCACTTTGGGAGGCCGAGGCGGGTGGATCACGAGGTCAAGAGATCGAGACCATCCTGGTCAACATGGTGAAACCCCATCTCTACTAAAACTACAAAAAATTAGCTGGGCATGGTGGCACGTGCCTGTAATCCCAGCTACTCAGGAGGCTGAGGCAGGAGAGTTGCCTGAACCCAGGAGGCGGAGGTTGTGGTGAGCCGAGATCGCGCCATTGCACTCCAGCCTGGGTAACAAGAGCGAAACTCCGTCCCAAAAAAAAGTAAATCATTAAGTTGCTAGCAGTCACACTGATAGTTATAAGCTACTAATCGGACAATTACGAATACGTATGAAGCAGCCTATCATAGATCATCTTAGCCATAAGATATTAACTGTGGTCTGGGTGTTAGTAATAACAGTTGCCATTTCTTGCTTTAGAGACAGAGTCTCACTCTGTAATCCAGGGTGGAATGCAGTGGCACGATCATGGCTCACCGCAATCTTGAACTCCTGGCCTCAAGCAATCCTCCTGCCTCAGCCTCCCAAGGAATAGCTGGGACTCCATACATGTGCCACCACTCCTGCCCAGCTAATTTTTATTTTTTCTAGAGACAGGGTTTTGTCATGTTGCCCAGGCTAGTCTCAAACTCCTGTCCTCAAATAATCTCATCCCAGCCTCCCAAAGTGCTGGGATTACAGGGATGAGCCACCACACCCAGCTTGTCGCTCTGTTTCTTGAGTGTTCATCTGCCAGGCTGTCTTAAGCACATATTTCTCATTCAGTCCTCACCATCACCTTAGTAGGTGATTGGTTTTTTATGCTCATTTTACAGATGAGAAAATGAGGGCTCATGAAGTCCAGCCACCTGGCCAGCTAGTAAGCAGAGGAGCTGCGGATCTAACCCTAGTCTCTATTTCTCCTTGAGTTGAGCTTTTAACTGCTTTGGGTGGTGTTTCTTGGTATAATGGGGCTTTGAGACTGGACACTCCTCTGCTAAATCCTCAGGGTCTGAGCCTCTCTGCTGTCTCCAACATCCCGTCCCTTGGTTTCCCATCTCTCCACACTCCCCAGCTTCTCTTTTCTACCCCACTGAGGTAGAAATACTTACCGCAGCTTGACCTATTGGCTGGTCCCTCTCTCTGAACCAGAGT